AAATGTTTTGGGGCAGTGCTATTAACAAGATCCGCGAGCGAATAAAATACACAAAGTGTTCCTTGTTGACCCACACAACGGTGACATTTTCATCCGAGGATAACCACATCACAAAGGGGCTGCTCATGGCAGAGGGCACTCGCAATTAGGATTGTGCACTGGCCCAGAAAACGCGCGCGCGCTCTCTCTCTCTCAAGAGGTGCCCTAAATCCGGACCGGCCTCTCTCCACCCCCTCCCTGTCCATTGGGGTCCATAAACACAGTCCCCCGCCCCCCCCCTTTAGTGTTTACCTTGCTCGCGACTGCGTTTGTTTTCATTGCTGATGGGAAGTGCTTTGTACGAGTTCAGGTTAATGTGTATAAGAATGTTCCAAACTTAGAAAGAAGCTCGTGGGTGTATTATATATCCATTCTCTATGCTTGTGAAAGGTGGGCCCCTCTAATGAAACATCTGCGCCGGCTAGAAACATTCAGGCTGGCCTATCTATACGATCCATACTGAGTTTAACCAGGCTGCATTGTGTGAGGAGCTCACAAATCCTTGAAATATCTGGACACATTCCCATCAGTGAGCTCCTCGGGCAGGCAAGGCTGCGTTCGCTGGGCCATGCCCAGTCACCGCATGCTCAAGCAGCTTCCGTTTGGCCACATCGAGGGGGCTAAACGGGTACGACATGAGCTGGAGAAGAGATGGAGTGATACGGTTGGGGAGGATATGGAGCTGAACAGACTTGCCGACAACTGGCACCAGCGGTGTCAATATCGGTCTCTATGGAGGAGGCTCGCGAAGGACTCTACTGGGCAGTTGAAGGCAGTCGCCCTCCAACAACAACTGAGGGCAGAGGAGTGACGCTCACAACAATGAGCGGAGCGCAGGGCTGATAAAATACATCAAGTTGGCACAATAGGGGATACAGCTGGTGCATTTTCCGTCATCGCAGTCAGCCAAGCCATGGCACCTGCAGGGTCTGTCCCGAAACCTCCTGTCAGCGAGCCTTCGACACTTCACGTGGCCTCAAAGTGCACATGGCCCGACACAGGCGCCGTGGTGATGTTACCCTCACTTAGTGGCGGGTATTGGTAGTGGTTAGCGCGACGATTTTCTGAACCGGTCCAAGGCCTGCTCCACTAGGTCGACTAAACCTCAAATGACTACCTGGTGCGGTGTGTTAAAATCGCCACTTGGGAGACAAAGGCGGCCGAGCGTGGTGGTGGCCACCCACCTCCTTGTGTTACGTGCTGACCTTCATAGGTGCTCGCGAACAGCATTTGCCCCAACAGTCTGTTAAGGTTATACGGGGAATATTTGTATATATATGTACAGAAGCTTCCCCATATACCGAATTCTCAGGAGTATAAGACTCTGTGGAAAGTAAATCAACCCCCAAACGTGTGTGTCTGATGTAAATATAGTTATGCAAATCTGGTAACACACACACACACAGACCATACCTAACTTGTGTTCATAACACGTATACGGGAGATAAAAAAATACATGTGGATCTTATCACATGGAAAAGATAATATGAGAAAATAAAAATGTGTTAGTCCATCAACCCATTAGGCTTACCAGACCAATATTGTTGAGCAACATTTGTTTAAACAAGCAAACGCTAAATTTCGATTTAAAGCTTTCGTGACTGCAGGGATTCATATTCTTGGTTCTTTTGGTAAAGTCACGTAGAAGGGAAATCATAAAATAATAAAATAAAACAATACAATTCTCGCACCTGATGATGATTGCTTGTGTTGCAATCGAAACGTCGTGCGAATTTTATTGTTTAATTTTTATTATTTTATTATTTCCCTTCTACGTGACTTTACCGAAAGAACCAAGAATAAGCAAACGCTAGACCGGTTTCTTCGACCTTATGTCTCTCATCATGAAAGTCAGGCTCGTTAAACGCATTGCTACTGGATTTAATATATGGTATTGGCAACACACACACTTCATATAAACTACTGGCTGAAATTCTCGATGAACCAATCCACCACGCCCCTGCACACAAGCTAACGTCATCGCTCCATCTCTACACTTGGTGACCTATCTTCGTTAAAACAAGTTAAAGGATTACTGATATTGTAAGGAATGTGGGCTGTGAGCCAGTCAAATGGCGTATTGGTTTCGAGTGGGCTTTCCTTATGACCAAATAAAAACACATGAAACTCATTCATTTTGCCAAACAATTAACCGACCTGACCATATTGCATTTACTTTTGTCTTTTGTTTTCAGATACACACAGTGTTTTGTAAGGGACACAGATCAATGCACCTTTGACCACACTGTCAATAACCGGCAGGCCAAGTTGTTAACAGATTATCAAGCCAGATCATCATAGCGCTCCGTGTGTAACTCAAGATAAGAGTCTTGGGAACGTCACAAGGGCCGGATAAAGTCTGCCTGAGAATCAAACGGGAAGAGGCAGTACACAGAGAACAATGGGCAATTTAAACATCTGCACCGAGGTTTCGTAATCAGAAATGAATGATTAATTTGGAAAGAATGGACGAGAGGTGAGTGGGTTGTTTGTTTTTTGTATGCAGCCAGTAGACTTTCATACATACGCATACTCACTCCGGGTACTCGTTGTTTTAAGGCTGAGTCGACTTAGGAGAATGCCCAGAACCGGTTTTGATATTCGTCACCGATGTTAGCTGTGAGATGAGAATCGAATTCGGTTCGTCGGGGTTGGTAGCACAGCGCGCTAACCACTGCGCCACCGCTACTCATACGCATACAAAAGAAAATATCCCCTGTATAGCCTAAACAGACTGTTGGGGCAAGTGCTGTTAGCGAACACATCTGGAGGCCGGAAATCTACACGAGGGGGTGGGTCGACAGCACCATACCCTACCCCATTTGTCTCCAAAGTGACGATGTTTACGCATCGCACCGGATACACATTTGAGGCTGAATCAACCTCGGGGAGGCCCAGAACCGGTTCAGGTAATCGTCACTGGTGTTGACCGTGAGCGCAACGCGCTAACCACTTCGCCACCGCTCTCCACTCAGGCATACAAAGACAAATATCCCCCGTATAGCCTGAACAGACTGTTGGGGCAAGTGCTGTTAGCGAGCACCTATGAAGGCACAAAGAAAAAGATTCCACGTATAGCCTGAACAGACTGTTGGGGCAAGTGCTGTTAGCGAGCACCTATGAAGGCACAAAGAAAAAGATTCCCCGTATAGCCTGAACAGACTGTTCGGGCAAGTGCTGTTAGCGAGCACCTATGAAGGCACAAAGAAAAAGATTCCCCGTATAGCCTGAACAGACTGTTGGGGCAAGTGCTGTTAGCGAGCACCTTTGAAGGCCGGCGCGGCACACGAGGGGGCGGGTGGTCAGCACCACGCCCAGCCGCCTTTGTCTCCCTAGTGGCGATGTTTGCACACCACATACATACAGACATACAGACACAGCCTGAAAGGTTTCCCCTACTCAAAAATACCACGGGCAGGTGCTAAAACAAAACCCCACATCTTAACAGCAGGTGATAAGGACGGAAGGGGCAGGTTTACGATCGTGCAATGTGGAGCCGCGTGCCTGCAACAACTGATGATGGACAATGGGAGTGCCACCTAAAGTGATAAAACTCCAGTTGCGGCCAGTAGCTCACAACCACACATTCCGAGCCGTCCACAACAGGCAAATCCATCCGTCCTGCTTGACAGGTCGTACACACAGCGGCCAGTCTCAACAGAGCGTGCGTCATTGGCAGTGCCGGATTAAGGCATGTTGGATATGTTATAAAGGGGCCCTAAACACATACATATTAAAAACATGTTTTAATTTTATTGCATAGTAAAGTAATTGCACTTTTTTAAATTTGCTATACAGCCAGATAATATGAAAAATCGCTAACCTTAAACACCCGGTCGTTCATAAAAGTTGAAGGCAGTATAGTACTATAGTAATAGAGCAAGTGCAGAATCACTGAACCGGAATTGATAGCTTGAAAGCATTTAGCGCGGGGCCCTTGAAAGTGCGGGGCCCGTAGCATTTGTAGCATTGCGTGATGGTGAGTGCGGTGAGATGCAGGAGCGGTGGCGCAGTGGTTAGCGCGCTACGCTACGAAACTAAACTATGTTTTATATGAGCAGCTAAGGTCCACGGAGCTGTATAGCTGATGTTTCAGAAGCGACCTGGCCACAAATTACAACTCAACGAAGTGGCGTATCACGTGGAAATGTATAGCAATAGCCGCATACTCTAAAACGCGCGTTGTTTCTAAATGTGGAGAGAACAACCGAAGGACCCAGAAAAAAATCCACGCGACCACGTGGAGAACATGAAAACTCCAAATCTACAGGCGTTAGGGTTGGGATCGAATCCATGCACTTGCCCCAACAGTCTGTTAAGGCTATACGGGGAAATATTCGTCTTTTTGTGTGTTAGTGTGTGTGTTCCCGCTCACGGCCAACACCAATGACGATTATCTGAACCGGTCCTGGTCCTCCCCTAGGTCGACTCAGCCTCAAATGAGTACCTGGTGCGGTGTGTAGTAAACACCGCCACTGGGGAGACAAAGGCGGCCCGGCGTGGAGCTGGCCACCCACCCCCTCGTGTGCCGTCCCGGCCTTCGTAGGTTGAACAGCACTTGCCCCAACAGCCTGTTGCAGGCTACACGGGGGACCTTTGTCTTTGGTGCAGGTTCGTGGAGAGGGAGGGTGGGGCAAAGGTGGGGAGAGGAGTGCACGGAGAGGTGGGTGGGGTGGATGAGAGGGGTGTGTTGCTAGAGTCTATATAAGAACTCGCGCATCCCGAGAAAAAGTTGAGAAGTGGGGGTCGCAAGTGTGCACGTGCGTTCTTTAATGAAATCTAGAACAGGGCCGCGTGCGTAAACCTCCACAGCAGCCCCCTTTGTTAATCCACTGCTGTGGATGAAGGCGTCGCACTTGTGAGGTTGCATGACCATACTTCGCCATGCTGGGCGGCGCGGGTTGATGGAGGCGGAGGGGAGGACACATCGGCCGGGTGAGTACAGCAGTTCTGATAATTATTTCTAGATTTGAAGCTTTCGTGACTGCAAGGATTCATATTCTTAGGTTTTTTCGGTAAAGTCACGTAGGTAAAAAAAATAAAATTAGTTAGATGTTATTAACCATGCAAAAATGATCTAACTAAATTACATTTTTTACCTACGTGACTTTACCGAAAAAACCCTGATAATTATTATTATACGAGCTGTGTGTAAACAACACATTCGGTCGCCTATTGCAGTTTAGCTGTACACCGCACAAACAAATGAACGTATATATATGAGTATAGCCAGACATACACAACACCTTTTAAATGTCAAATTGTACCATATATAGTAGCGCATCATTTATACACATGTAGTGCATATTTACGCATTACGCACACGTACATATGCATATATTATACGCATAGTGCACATACACATTGCAGATGCATGTTAGTGTTGATGGCATTACACATGCACACGCAGTGTATATAACCACTCTTTGCATGTGTTCTGAAATGCACGATTAAAATATACTTCGATGTAAAGAAGCATTTTTTTTCAGAATGTCCAGTTATACACAGAATTATAACCCACAATACACTTAGGCTATTGCGTGATCCGCTAACAAATCGCGGATCACGCATGAAGGCAGAGTGACGTTTCACTTTAACAACTGAACACACACGTTCACACAGCGTGGCCCAAAACAAGTAGCAAAAACAACAACAACAACAACCTCAAGCACACTCCATCCCATCATCGGTGACTTTGCCCAAAGGGAAGAAAACAAGATTGTAAATAGTCGGCGACGTTTCGGACGATGTGCCTTCCTCCGTAGCAGAGAGCTAAGCGATGCCTGAGAGGGTGACAGCGAGACTCACGACAGCTTTGACATCTCACGTGTGCGCACACACTCACACACTCACTCACACTCACTCATACACTCACTCACACTCACTCACACACTCACTCACACTCACTCACACTCACTCACACTCACTCACACACAATCACTGACACTCACTCACACTCACTCACACTCACTCACACACTCACTCACACTCACTCACACACTCACACACACTCATTCACACTCACACACACTCACACACCACACTCTCACACTCACACACACTCACACACTCACTCACACTCACTCACACTCACTCACACTCTCACACACTCTCACACACACTCACTCTCACACACACTCACTCTCATACACACTCAGTCACACACACTCACACACACTTACTCTCACACACGCTCACTCACTCACACACACTCACACACTCCCACACTCTCACACTCACACACACTCACTTACACTCACACACACTCACACACTCACTCACACACACTCACACACACACTCACACACTCTCACTCACACACTCACTCACACACACTCACTCACACTCACTCAATCACACACGAGCTGAGACTGACCATCTGTGGGCGTGCTGTGTGCGATCAGTGTATTACAGACCGGCAGTCGGGTGCGTCGTATCGACAAGCTTGTACGTGCACGTGTAGCTTGTGTGTGTGTGCATTGAAAATTGTTGATACTCCTACTGTTACTTCTGCTGTTATGGAGTGACTCGTGCAGCCAGCTATGGCTGAAAAGTTTCGTCGTACATGTTATGTATATCGTTTATTGTAACATTTTAATCACAGTTCCTATGATCACTGTTACGTTGCTTTTATAGCTTTATTGTGGTGATTTCGAAAACGTTTTTGCTTAGCCATATTTGTTTGTTGAAGTACAGAGTTAGACTGATAATTTTAATATAACTTGTCTTATGGTTGTTATTGTTTTATTTGCATCCCACTTGGATTTTTGCACACAGCGTTGATATGCGGTGCATTTTCTGGAAGACTTTGCTGTTTTTTCCTGGATTTTTCTGTTTGCGCGTAGCCGCTTTAAGATGTTTCTTGTTCATGTTTTTGTTTGTTGCGGTTGCACTCGATTCAAGAGCCGAATGGCCCACAGAGCTATACCAAATACATGAAACTGAAGACTGAAAAATATAGCTATCCGTAGACTAGGGTGTATGTGTGTGTATGTAGCTATCTATCTGTAGATTAGGGTGTATGTGTGTGTGTGTAGCTATCTATCTGTAGACTAGGGTGTATGTGTGTGTATGTAGTGGGGAGCGGTAGTGTAGCGGTTAGCGCGCTGCGCTATGAACCTGGCGACCCGGGTTAGATTCCCGCTCACGGCCAACACCAGTGACGATTAATTGAACCGGTCCTGGGCCTCCCCTAGGTCGACTCAGCCTCAAATGAGTACCTAGTGCGGTGTATAAACATCGCCACTGGGGAGACAAAGGCGGTCGGGCGTGGTGCTGGCCACCCACCCCCTCGTGTACCGTTTCGGCCTTCATAGGTGTTCGCTAACAGCACTTGCCCCTACAGTATGTTAAGGCTATACGGGGGGTCTTGTCTTTGTCTATATATGTGGCTTATCTATCTGTAGACGAGGGTGTGTGTATGTGTGTGGGACACACGATGCCATGAGCCTGCCCGGCGCCGTGGTGTTGATCATCGGAGTCGCTCTCTGCTGGATGTCGCGCGTGGTGCTGCTTGTGGTGGCAGCTGGAGGAGGAGGAGGAAGAGGAGGAAGAGACTTCACGGCACAAGACATCGTTCAGCTTTACCCAGCCAGTGAGTGTGCACCTCCGAGTACGCATCGACGTATTGTCATCATCACCGTAACATCATCATCACCGTAACATCGCCGTCACGATCACAAATTATTGTCATCTTTAAAACTACTCTTTGTGTGTGTGTTTTAGTTTGTCGTTCACCCCGCTCCCCCCTCCGGCACATCCGATTAGCACGGTTGGCTACGTATGGTGCGAACAAAGTTCAGCATACACACATTCATCATCAGTAGCATGATGATGATGATGATAACAATACACTCCAATATTTCGATTTAAAGCTTTCGTGACTGCAGGGATTCATCTTCTTGGTTCTTTCGGTAAAATCACGTAGAAGGGAAATAATAAAATAATAAAAATAAAACATTGTATTTTTTATGTTTTATTTTTATTATTTTATTATTTCCCTTCTACGTGACTTTACCGAAAGAACCAAGAAGATAAACTCCAATATTATAATTTGAACAAATTATTTGGGGACGCTGCTGCTTTGGAACACTACAATAACAACAATAAGACGCTGCCTTAAAATATATAATAGGCGACGTTTCGGGCAATTCGCCCTTCACAGCAGATACATAATACAATTGTATTTTCCTTTTTAGGGCAATATCATTTGGGGGCAGTGACATGGCCTAGCGGCATCGCGTTCACCGCGTGTTGCAGAAGTTATTTTTTCCAATTGTGTCAACGTTTACTGATGACCGGTGGTGTTAAGTGCAGTCGCTCACCCGTATTGACGCTCTCTCACTCTCTGCGGCCTGTGTTTACGTTCTACGAAGTAGGGTCGTTGCCTTAAACGTCACCGCTTTTATACAAGAGTGACGCTGCACGTGGAAATAATTTTCTTAATTCCGTCACCATGTTCATCCCGAGCCGTTGCACTTGTAACCTTGGGCGGTGGAGCATTTTAGTTATAACATACCTAGACGATCTAGCCCCAAAATAAACTAATTATAAATCGTAGAAATGGTCAGTTATCAAAATAATTTAATCACTACCATCATTCGTGATGATCGTTATTATCGTCATTATCAACACCACCAATGATCAGTTTCACTGGCAGTATCATCATTACAATAATCGACAATCAGCAATTAGCATTATTGTCGTCGTAATTATTAAATTATGAATTACTACCATCAACAATCATCATCAGCATAAAGTGCTATGTTTATCAATAATAATAAATTATCATCATGTCCTGGTGAGTTCCCACTGTGATACCAAGTGTCTCTTTCAAGAGACCAGGGGAAAAAATACAGTTATAACTATAATAAAGTTATTATAATAAAGTTATAACTACTATCAGTTTAACACGTAGGGGCGTCCATAAATGACGTCACGCACCTGGGGGGGGGGGGGGTCAGACATTTGTGACGATGTGTGACGAGGGGGGGAGGGTTGAGAAATGTGACGTCACATCAAAATGCGCAACTTTAAATAAATATAGACAACACGTTCTACTTATTTAAGTAGACTTTTTAATAAATGTTTTTTCCTACAACATCACAGTGCATCGCCACATTAAATACGCACTACAATGACAATTATATAAAGCGATTTGAAGCATGGGGGGGGGGGGGGGGGGGAGTCAAAAATCGTACAAAATCGCGTGACATCATTTTTGGACGGCCCCATAGTAGGCTTTCGTGCCACAGCCAATTGATAAGGTTTGTCACGTAAACAGAAAATGCCAATTCGTCACTAGTACAGCACACCGGTGTGTCGGAGAGCAAAGCCACAACATTTACAACCCGAGAACAACATTTCGCCAGTAATTACAACTAGCTTCATCAGGCGACAGCCAGATTTGTGGAGAAATCCTCCTGTTTCGTTCCTGAAATAGAGGGGTAGATGTGATGACGTCACTTGTGATCATTTCTTGCGCGAAGTGGGGGGGGGGGGATAATAAATGCATATAGATGCCTATGGGTATCCATGGCCGGTTAGGTTATTTATATGGTACTCAAACTAACATTATAAATACTCTATTTACATAAATTGTGTAATTAACCGCTTAACCACCACCACAGTTGTATAACCATCTGTGGCTTGCTGATGAGTGATAAGAACACACTAAGCTGGGGCAAAGTCTCTTGTTTGACAGATATATAACGTGTCGAAGATTAACCGTTACCGCAAGCCAGTTGGAGCCTGGCTGTGGGTTTGTGGACCCATCTCATGATCACAAAGTTTGCATTTCAAATCTGTCTTGGGGGTTTAACCCAGGCAATCATGCCACTGGAAGCGATTAAACAATGTACCTTATTTGTGGGATGTCAAAACTGTCTCTCGTCATGGTAATGTGGAATTCCCACCATTGGATTGCTCTAGCGATGGATGGATGGGTGGATGTGTGGGCCGGTACTCACCTCCCGTTTGTCAGGCCGAGCAGTGGTAGGAATTCCACATGCCTATGGTGGTGGGTGAGTCTATCCATGGAGCAGTCGTTTTTAACTTCCCACGAAGTGATACTCGGAGAGGGATGAAGTGCAGAGTCGAGCCCCGGCCAGGGTGTGGACTGGCACCTCGCGATCGAGCCACTGTTACTAACGACTACCGCGTTACGGTTTACATTCATCAAGCTTGTACATTTAATACTGGTAGGAACCTCCTGGTTATACCAGCCCACATGGGATTATTGTGTCCGTCGTGCAAGGATGGGCTGGGTGGGGAGGGGCTGGATGGGGAGGGTGGGGCTGGGTGGGAAGGGGAGGGTGGGGAGGGGCTGGGTGGGGAGGGTGGAGAAGGGCTGGGTGGAGCGGCTGGGGAGGGGCTGGGTGGCTAGGGTGGGGCTGGGTGGGGGTGGGAGGGGTGGGGCTGGTCACCCCGTGATGCCCTTATAAAACTCAACGTTTAACCTACTCACGCCGGCTTGTGCCCGCCCTCACAGTCGGCCATATTTGCGGAATCCACCACGCCGCCGTTCACCCTGGCCATTGACCAAGAAACCCAACGTTCCTACCAGCTCCCTCCGCAGGAATGTGTTAAGTTAACAATTCGGAGGTGAGGGGGGGGGGGGTTATGGCAATGCCATGCAAAGTTTTACAATATTCCAAGTGTTGCCCTCTACTGTGTCGACCAGAGGTCACTTGAAGGGATCTCAGAGGTAGCTCTGTGATATCTGCTTCCGTGGGTCGTTCGTGAACGGTTTCACTGTGCTATGGGAGTTCCTTCCGAGTGGATACTTCGTCTCGTGACGTGACAGGAGAATAAACCATCACGCGAACTCCTGGTCATCCTCGCAGCAGCAGCAGCGTCTTCTGGCTGCTGGCCACCGAACACAGACGGTGGTCACCAAATCGTGCACTTTCAGACGCGCTTCTGCGGCCGTCTGGAACGCTCTTCATTCCGATATTAGGAAGCCACTGGAGCTATGCACTTTTAAATCTAGATTCAAAACTCACTTCTTGAGAACTGCCTTTTGGCTTTAGTTTGTTGTCTTTCCGCACCTCCGGTTAGCACGGTCGGCTACGTACGCCGCGGAAGACGTTAAACAGACGTACACCGCTATGACAATCGTGCTGAAATTATTGAAAAAGTACATTTGAAAATGAATCCACTACAATTCCACGTGTAAAACTGGGTCGCCAACTAACACTGCATTAATGCATTACATGTCACTCGTTCAAGCCACATGCCTGATTGGAGACTGTTCCAACAACAACAACAACAAGCGAGCCCAGTAATGGGTTTCCAAAAGACAAACGAACAATAAATTTAAGACGGGGAGGGGATGGGAGAAAAAAATCACCGTTAAGTTACTGCAAGAGGTTGTTCTGGGGTCAGGGTCAGGATTAGGCCTGACCCCTTCTTAATGCCACAATCACACGTTTGGCTTTGTGCTCATGTTCATTAATCACCGCGCGATGTGCAAACAATTTACGGACTGGGCTGCTGACAGTTTTAACTTCGGGCAAACACAAGGTACAAGTCGCGTAAAACTTTGGAGAGTCCAAAGTTATTTCACGCTCCATCGCCGTCGTGAACGAGGTGCTCCCCGCTCTGTTTAAACACAGAGGGATGCCTCGGATTCATCATTGCTGTGTCGAACCCAGTTCATCCTAATGGCATTGCACTTTTGCTCAGATGCCTGTGTTTGTATGGGCAATGCATGCACATTGGTCTCTGTCACCACATTATTACTTGTGTTTTTTTTTACCCGGCTGACTGTTTGAACTATGGTTCAGCTGGAGAGGACATCTCACTCCCATTTTGGACATACAACATTTTTTTTAAAGAAAGCTCTGAATGTTTACGGAGAACTCTTTTTGTACAACAACAGTCTTGGGCACAATCAAGGCATTGATGTCGCGGAGCCACACTGCCTTAATGATGCCCAGTTGAGCTGAAATTTATATTACACGGTTGGCTACAATTGGGCATCACGGTGACGAGATGTCAACTACCTCGCCTGGTATGCAGGAGGTCGTGGGTCCAATCCCGACCCTGACGTCTGCATTTTGGGAGTTTGCATGTTTTCCCCGTGGTCGCGTGGATTTTTTCCCGGGTTTTCCCTCTGGGTTTCCCCTCTACATTTAGAATCAACGTGCGTTTTGGAGTATTCGGCTGCTATACATGTCCACATCGTGATAAGCCACATTGTTGAGCCATCATTTGTGGCCAGGTCGCTTTTGCAAAAGGGCTATATAGCTCAGTGGGCCTTACCTGGTAACATTGAAATAGTTTAGTTCAGCACAGTTGGCTATGTACGGTGCGAAAGAAGTTCCACATACGTACAGACACCTTTCTAAAACGGACATGAGAAAATGGCAGACTCCCCAAGACTTTTGGACCGGCAGAGCAAAGCCATATAATCGTGCCCCGGCAGAGTGGCTGAGTGGTGTGGGTTTAACCCAATCTGGAAATAACCCCAACATCGTTTTGCACGGGGGCCTTGTGATACCTGCACATAAGGAATAAATCCCCGTGTCAATGGCAATACCAATAAGAGCTACTCTAATGGGCCCTTTGGCTCCTCATCATAGGCTCCAGTTGCTCGCTGCCAAATATTTCTCACTCGTATTTCTTGCGCTGTCCAACTAAAGATGTACGCACACGTGAATGTGTGTTTCTTGCAATGAAATGCGGTTCTCTTTACAATGCATTTCCATTTCTACGTCACATCCGTCGTTGTTTTTTTTTTTTTTAACAATGTATTTCAATTGTGTTATCGGCATCATGCCAATGAGGCGAGGAATCCTTTCGGAAATCTTACAGAGAAGTGCATAGGCGCGTGTCGTAATATGGCTGCAGAAGATGTTTTTCATAGGACTTCTGAAAAAAAATCCTTCAAGTTGGCCTTTTGATCCTCCCATGTAGTAGGGGTCTCACTTTTCCACACGCTCTGCTATGAGGTTTTACGCTCATCTGAGCATGCAGACACTTTTTGGACTTTTGATTCCGACTGTTGGAAGAGTAGACCAACATACTCTTGAGGAGGGCTACTCCGTGGCGGAGGCTCTTCTGCCAGAAGCGACGTGAACAAAGTGATGTAATTTCATTTTCAAACGTGTTTATTTCCACCCCCCCAACCCCCACCATATCTTCACACACCAGCAACCCCATTTCCTGGTGGCTTCAAATGCTTCACGTGTGAAGATGCCCGTGACAATTACGATTGCAATCGCTGGGCCCCGGATGTCTTCTGCCCACAAGGTGAGACTCGGTTGCATCGATGAACATATACATGCCATCATCGTCGTCGTCGTCGCCGTCACCATTAGCTGTGATCAATCCACGGCTGGATGAAGGCCTCTCCAGGTCACCATGTCTCGCGATATAACAGAATCCATCTTGATTTGAAGCTTTCGTGACTGCAGTAATCCACACTCTTTGATTCTTTTGGGAAAGTCACGTAGGTAGAAATTAAATAAATCACGACGTTTCGGGCGCAACACAAGCGTCCGTCATCAGGTGGGAAAGCATGGTCTGCTGCTGATGCAGACTGTTTTAAAAGGTTTGAAATGGGTGTAGCTCAAGGGTCATGCTAATTTCTCATATTAGCATCACTAGCCCCAGCCACTTCTTTATGACCCTTGGGCTACACCCATTTCAAACCTTTTAAAACAGTCTGCCTCAGCAGCAGACCATGCTTTCCCACCTGACGATGGACGCTTGTGTTGCGCCCGAAACGTCGTGATTTATTTTATTTTATACCTACGTGACTTTACCGAAAGAACCAAACAGTAACAAAATCCAGCCGCACCCGGGCGGATTTCATCAATCCATCTCAATGGTCGAAGTTACGACCCGAGGCTGCCACTCTGTCGTTATCACCGTAGTATGTGGCACCCCATAGGGTGAACGCCCATCGCTCCTTCCGCGTGAAGCCTTCTCTTACCAGGTCTCCGTGTTGTTCTGCATCCTTTGCTTATCGCACAAGAGACGCGGACGACATTCTCTTCGCAGGGCACGTGGGGCTTCGTCGTAATAACTCTCTGACCCACCTCGACTGGACATCTGCAAAAAAAGAGCTTCATAGCTCATCGGATTCCTCCAGGATAAATGAAGATTCGGATGATGTAACAATGGAGCTTGGATCAATCCTTTTCCATATCTGTCCAGATTTGCACTTCTTCGTATGCACGGAATGAGAACATCGTTAAGGGGCCGTCCATAAATGACGTCACGCACCTGGGGGGGGGGGGGTCAGACATTTGTGACGATGTGTGATGGGGGGGGGTTTGAGAAATGTGACATCACATCAAAATGCACAACTTTAAATAAATATAACAACACTCCTACAACATCAGAGTACAGCGCCACATTAAATACGCACTACAATGACAATAGTTTAAAGCGATTTGAAGCATGTTTTATTTTCAAAATGGAAATGTGGTTTTGGGGGGGGGGGCAGAGCTTTGTGACGTCATATTTAAGGGCGGGTTTGACTTTTTGTGACCCCGTGTGACGAGGGGGGGGTCTAATATCGTCCAAAATCGCGTGATGTCATTTATGGACGGCCCCTAAGAGGAGGAATATCACTTGCGATGAGTGTGGCTTGTGTGAAGCGTGCGACACGTGTGTTGTGTGTGAGCTGTGTGTGCGGTGTATGGGATGTAAGTCGAACTCAGCCTTAAATGAGTACCTGGTGTGGTGGTGTGTAAACATCGCCACTGGGGAGACAAAGGCGGCCGAGCATGGTGCTGGCCACCCACCCACCCCTCGTGTGCCCTGCCGGCCTTCATAGGTGCTTACTAACAGCACTTGTCCCAACAGTCTATTAAGGCTATGCGGGGGATCTTTGTCTTATATGGGATGTGGGGAGCGGCGGTGTAGCGGTTAGCACGCTGCGCTACAAACCCTGCGTCCAGAGTTCTATTCCCGGCTCGCGGCCACCACCGCCAGTGACGATTATCTGAACCGGTCCCGGGTCCTCCCCTAGGTCGACTCGGCCTCAAACGAGCACCCGGCGTGGCGTGTAGTAAACACCGCGCCTCCGCGCTAATCGGAGGTGCGGGCGGGGGGGGAAGGACAGCAAACGGAAACGCACCGGTGCGACGTGCGTGCCGTGGTGCGACTCGCGAGTGCGCCGCTGCGTGCGACGTGTGTGCCGCCGCGCAGGCTCGCGCTACTGCTACACGCGCCACCTCATGGACGGGCTCGGCGCCAGCGAGTCGGTCACCAAGCGCTGCGTGGCCGTGCACGACTGCGTCGGGACCACGGGGTGCCGGACGCTCGCCGACGCGGCGCGCCGCACGGTAAGCGAGCCGCCCAACTCCCAAGTCTCGCCCGGCCGGGTGCTCGCGGCCGAGGCTGCTTAAACCTTTTCCTTTAATAGTGATGATGATGATAAGTAGAATAATAATAAGTAGAATTAGTAAATAGGCTTTCTCGACCAATATCATCCATAATAGAGTTGTTTTGGATTAGATCGCGTAAATATATAAATGTGTCGTTAAATCCGCCAACCATCTGACACAGCCAACGAGTAACGTGATAAACCTTGCTAATTATATATTTACGCGATCTAACCCAAAAAAACCTGTAATTATGGATAAGAAGAACGATTTACATTTGTTAAGTGGCACATTGCATCCGTAGATGTGCCGTTTTACGGAAAGCCAGGAAATTAACGGAACCTGCAGGGTAAACGGCCAAAACTAGGCGTAGGGTGAAGGCGAGTGTTTAAAGAGGTGAGTTTTGAAGGCAGACTTAATATATTGCTTTGGCGGTTCACAAGGGTTGCTACCCGTCCTGGGTTTCCCGGGATGGTCCTGTTGTTGTCCTGAGAAATCTCCGAGTTGTCCCGAGGACATTAAACGTCGCATATTTTGTCACTTACGCAATAACACTATGCCTCTCAAGACTTCGCAATGTGAAGTAGTTATTTCCCCCCCCCCCCCCCCGCCCTTTCGGGAGATATTCTTCTCCCCGTGATATTCCCATTTTCCTTTTGTACCCGAGAAGGTGGCAGCCGTAGCTATGATGGCTCGTGCAGGCTTCACTGTAGAAAATGAACGTCAACTTTGGAGACTTTGTCCGTGTTGCCCGATCCATGTGCTCATTTCTCTGTCGGGGGGGGGTAATTCCAAGCGTGTTTCTCTCTAGCTTCTTTGCACGCTTTTCACCATTTTCCTTCGTAAACGTCATTTTTTTTTCTCATCCGTATATGTTGTAGCGGGTGAACCACGTTCGGTCGGAACCTTCTGGGGGCAACGGTGGCTACCGTTTCCCTTCGTCGTTAAGTTCGCGTTTTTCGTTTGCCGCCCTCCCCGTCAGGAGTGCGTGTCGTGCTGCGAAGGAAACATTTGCAACCTCCCCGTGCCACGCAACCACTCGGACGCGGTCTTCTCCACCGAGACTCCGGTGTGGCCGTCTGGCGCGTCGCCGTGCCGCTCGGCACGCTGGCCGGTGCTCTGCGCGCTCCTCGGTGCGCTGATGCTGCCGGTGTGAGGATTGGCACCACGCTGGCTGGAACTGCTGATGCTGCCGGCGTGAGGACTGGCACCACGCTGGCTGGAACTGCTGATGCTGCCGGCGTGAGGACTGGCACCACGCTGGCTGGAACTGCTGATGCTGCCGGCGTGAGGACTGGCACCACGCTGGCCGGAACTCCTGATGCTGCCAGCGTGAGGACTGGCACCACGCTGGCTGGAACTGCTGATGCTGCCGGCGTGAGGACTGGCACCACGCTGGCCGGAACTGCTGATGCTGCCAGCGTGAGGACTGGCAACACGCTGGCCAGAACTGCTGATGCTGCCAGCGTGAAGATTGGCACCACGCTGGCTGGAACTGCTGATGCTGCCAGCGTGAGGACTGGCACCACGCTGGCCGGTGCTGCCGCTGATGCTGACAGCGAAAAGACTGGCGCCACGCTGATGCCCAACGTGAGCCGTACCCATGCAAGGGCCAGTGGCAGGCGATGGAAAAAAACGAATCGGCGTTCGGGGAGCAAGAGGCCAACGGCGATGTGGAGTTCTCGCTCATCCGGGCCACGTGCTGCAAGTTGCCGTTTCGCCGGTGTGACTTGACGCAACAACAGCCCTTTACCACTCCACTGCTGGATGGCAGCCCGGTCAAGCTAAACAACACTTTCTTTTCCACGGGAGATCAATAAGGCAGTAATGTACCGGTTTATTACATCGAAATTTTTGTTTTAAACCAAACATCAAAGCTCAGAAAGATCAAAATATTACATAAAAACACATTAAACGAATATACAATTAATTTGAATAGGAAACTTTAATCAGAATACTTATTTATACTGGAGGAATCCCATGAGCTATAAAGCTCTTTTTCAAAGATGTCAAAACGTTACAACAACAAACAAACTAAACGATAGGAGTGCAAAGTGTAGGCGAAGGCTGTACAAGTTTACATATCAGTTTAGGGTTTCTGTAAAGATACATTTTGAATGAGGGGTGGAGATATAATTGAGCAACAATCACGTTCGTGTTGCCCCAGTCATTGATTGAATTGCCCGTTAAATCCTCACTCAGGCAGAGATGCAATATTGTTACATACTGTGAGTATCATCTGTGCGTCAAGTAAAGCTCAAAAGCTGGCTTTGCTATTTATTTTCGGTGTTAAAAAAGTTGACTCGTTTTGTAGCAAAAAAAAAAAGAGACGAAGTATGAAATATCGCGTTGTATTTTTTTTTAAAGATTCGCGTTATTTTTGTCAACAAAAATTTTAATATGCAGGACAATCACAAATGTCGTGGGGAGTTGCATTAAGATATTAGGAGCAGTTGGAACCTTCACGTGTCCATTCACCCGCGTTTCCAGTTCGTGCGGATGTGATTTGCTTCATGTCGCCAATAAACCTTCAACCATTCAGAAAAAAAAATTGTAACAAAAAAATCGTGCACACGTGTGGATTCCGTAACGCTTCCCAATGCCCGTTTGTCATCGTAAGTATTTAATTAGCAGTGCGTAACCCGACGGATGGACAGGTAGCCGTCAGAGTAAAACGCGTTCATATATGTTTTCGATGTCCTTTTATACTCCAGAGCAGTGGTTCTTCTTAATCTGGGGGTGCGAGACACGGGCAGATTTTTTTAGAAGGTAAATCATCGAAAACACAAATTAAGCACGGTGCACGTTGAGTACAGCTACTTTAACGCGTAATCAAAGTGTTTGGGTTACGCGGTCTTTATTATGTACACCTTCTTTGTTTCATCAAACCCATCTAATTATTATCAACACTTTTTTTAACGATCGAGAAGCAATGGGCTGCAAGGCTGCAGCAAAGGTGAAGAAGCACATTGCTCTAGACTCGAGGACTGTGCCTTCAAATGTTGGGCAATTCATCGATCAAATTGGCCGATTTTTTTAATCCTTTATATTAAGTTCACTTGCTTGCTTGCTTGCGCGCTTACGACCGTGCAAATCTTTCGGTCGTTTTTTAACCCACTTCCCGTGATCCAATCGAGCTGACATTTTGCACACAGACTCGTTGTGCGTGACAATTAATTTTCGTGAATTTTTTTTTACAAATTTTTACACTTTTTAGGAATTTTTTTTATATTTAATTACCAATTGCTTAATGGTGGCAGGCAATCATCTGACCCATAAGTAGCAGCCATCTCAAGCCAGAGGACGAGAGGACTCTAGCCGCCACGCATATAAAGGATTTATAGTGAAAAACTTTGTTTTTACGGGTTAATTTCAAAATACAATACACGTGACTACGCCAACACACCCGTAGTATACTCATGCGCAGCTCATGGGGGACAGCGTGTGCGAGAGTTATCATAACCCTCCTCATTAAGGGGTGGACAAACAGACGCACAGAGCTACACCACGCAATCTCCGGTCGCCCTTAGTTTCAAAAGGTTAAAAAGGTATCTCCTGCTATAATTCACGAACCATGGCCCCTTGGCTTGCGTGAATTGTCACTTGATAAGGCTTTACCTGCGTATAGTGTTCGGGGTGGGGGAGGGGGTGGGTGGGGAGGGGGTGGGATTTCGCCAAATAATCACTTTTTCTACGGCCGTCTCGTAACTTTGCACGGGGATGGATTACAATCGAGTGCTCGCTGCTGTAGGGAAGCGTTAAGAGATCCCGTGGCATCGTGTGCGAGAGGAGACTGCCAGTGTCATTCTATCATTGCCCAAGGCACACGAAGGAAGTTAACCGCAGGTTGCCCGGCGTCGATGGTAACGCTCGCCGCTGCCACAAGACGGTGTTCTGCTCAAAGTGTGTGCGTGCTTGCACAAGGGGCGTTTATGGGGAGCGGTGGTGGAGAGATTAGCGCGCTGCGCTACGAACCTGGCGACCTGGGTTCGATTCCCGCTCACGGGACAACGCTAGTGGCGATTTTCTGAACCGGTTCTGGGCACTCCCCTAGGTTAATTCAGCCTCAAACTTAGTATTTGGTGTGGTGTGTAAACATTGCTACTGGGGAGACAAAGGCGGTTGGCGTGGTGCTGGCCACCCACCACCCCCTTGTGTGCCGTTCTGGCCTTCATAAGTGCTTGCTAACAGCACTTGCCCCAACAGTCTGTTACAGGCTATATGGAGGCTCTTTATCTTTGCACAAGGGATATCTATCTGGTCGCTTAACGTTTAAATGCAACAAACTGTCAGAAGGTTGTAAAAAAAATGTATCATCGTTTTTTTTTTGTAAAGCAATAGCCTATTATTTAAAATGTTCACAATTGTATAACGTGACACTCATTAAACCAATAATAACGAACAGTTCTGTGCCATTATTCTTTATATATGTGACCCACGGTTTTGCGCAAGTCTCGAGACGCGGTTTCGATGTTACAACCTTGTGGGAATCCACATCCTAAATGTGTTGCATTTAAGAGATGCCAATAGCATTGGAAGCGTGTGCGCGTGAATGGGCGACTTGGGGAAATGATCCCGTCTTCCAAGGAGGGATAGCGCTTTCAGATGCGCTTCTGCGGCCGTCCTTCCGAGTTCCGATACTCGGAAGGCACTGGGAGCTGTGCACTTTTAAAGCGAAATTGACAACTCATTATTTAGAAATTGACAACTCATTTAGTTAGAACCGCTTCGGGCGCATTGCAATTTTTTCTTGCTGTGGTTGTCCCACCTAATGACGGACGCTTGTGTTGCGCCCGAAATGTGATTTATTATTTTATTTCGATTGTTATTAGTATTTTATTATTAATATATTGTTATTTATTTATTTATTTCCCTACGTGACTTTACCGAAAAAACCTAAGAGTATGAATCCTTGCAGTCAGGAAAGCTTCAAATCTAGAACCGCTTGTTGTGTTTAGTTTGTTGTCATTCCCCGGCACCTCCGATTTGCACCGTTGGCTACGTACGGTGCGAAAGAAGTTCATACATACCAACACAGCATTGATGTAAGCTTGGGCTTGAATCTGAGTCTCGTGCCTGGATAAAGCAAGTTTATTTCAGCACAACAAGTACATTAGTCTCAACCAGGTCACAACCACCACATCAGCCTGTTGAACCATGCTGCCCAAGAGCTTCTCGAGACGTAAGAAGTGTATGAACGGCGTCTGTAGATTTTTCAGCAACGTTTCTAGGCAGAATCGGAATATTTATTTATACTGGAGGAATCCGATGAGCTATGAAGCTTTTTTTTGCACGGATGTCCAGGAGGGGCGGGTAAGAACGTTACAACATTGAACAATACAAACACACGGCAGCAGTGCAAAGGGGCCGTCCATAAATTACGTCACGCACCTGGGGGGGGGGGGGGGGAATCAGACATTTGTGACGATGTGTGACGAGGGGGGGGGGGTGAGAAATATGACGTCACGTCAAATTGCGAAACTTTAAATAAAAATAGACAACACGTTCTACTTAATTGAATAGACGTTTTAATAAATGTTTCCTCCTACAACATCAGAGTGCAGTGGCACATTAAATACGCACTACAATGACAATAGTTTAAAGCGATTTGAAGCATGTTTAAACAAATTTGGGGGGGGGGGCAGAGCTTTGTAACGTCATATTTGAGGGGGGGGGGTCTGACTTTTTGTGACGTCGTGTGACGAGGGGGGGGGGTCAAAAATCGTCCAAAATCGCGTGACGTCATTTATGAACGGCCCCAAAGTTCGAGAAACAAAACAAATCACCCAACAACACACACATACAACACGAAACCATCCCCACTCGATCTGGCAAAGCCCACTGAGGATATGAGGCCGAGTTAGCATTTTCACGGGAGAATACCAGTGTTATAGGCTTGGGTTGTGAGAGACGGTGCTAGGTGATACAAGTAACGCCGAGGCTAAAATAAACTCCACGTAAATTTACAGGGCGGTCCGGATGTCTTGTGATCCCCATTTCATTCTCTAAAACGGCATACAATTTTAAAGTAAAGTTTATTTAAAACAGAAATTAACATGCAAAGGGAGAAACAAACGCAGGGGTCAATTAATTGGGGGCTCACAAGACATCTGAGCCACCCTGTAGATGAGATTGTTGTTTTGTAATTTTTTTAAAGAATAATTTCTCAGTAGGAGCCCCCGGTACAAAGCCTGTTGAGAATTAAAAACAATTTGACTGTGCAGTGTGGAGGGTGCGGACCACATTGTTTAAGTGGTGGCGGGGTGGGGTGTGATGACGAGCAGGTTGTTTAAGGAAATTAATTGGCATTGGAACCCCCCTCCCCCCTCGTGTATGACGAGGTAATTCCAAACAGTTACGGGAGGAGGAGGGGGGGGTGCATGTGCTGTAAACGATGTTCCGGCCACGTGTTAGACTTCATTCCGTTCACAAATTAATCAATGAAGCAAGCCCAGCCCAGTCCACGGCTCGTGCGTGTGTGAGGATCTCGCTCGAGAACACGATCCACGCACACACACAGACAGTGTGTGTGAAGAAGCCAGAGCAGAAGGATAACACCCGCAAACAGGCTCAGCCCAACATCCAGCCAGCAGTAGAGAGAGAGAAGAGCTAAGCAGGGAGAAACAGCCAAGCTTCATGCTGTAAGTAGCTGTGCATTACCAGCGGCTGTTTGGTCAGATAATCGTGGGGTTTGTTTTAAGTTATGTCTGTTTAAGACGTAGGCCTTTTCGCGACCAATATTATTCATAATCAACGTTTTGAGTTAGATCGCGTTATTTATAAATGTGTCGTAAACCCTCCACCACCCGACACGG